CTCAAAAAAAAAAAAAAAAAAAAAAAAAGTTTGAGAAGAGAATTATTGATTTCTGAAATCTTTACGATTTACATTAATCTGCAAGTTTTGCAAGGAAAATGAACAGAAGTGAGATGATAATATTCAGATTGCACAATCACATTGAAAGCCAAATCGTATCACAGTGTTCAGAAAGCAGCATTTCACCAATTTAACACCAACAGAGAATCGTAATACTGAAAGTCAATGTCAATGAGAGCTTGCTCTCGCCACCACCAACATATGTATCCAGTCTCTATCTCCCTACTTGGCGCTCGGCGCCCAGCCTACTCCCTACACAGCTACTATTAGCCTACTAATTGACAATGCAACTGTTGACGTCAGCAGCTTCCGAAGTACTTGAAGATGTCACCCATGCAGACCATCGCCAATACCAGGTATGAGCCCTCACATCATCATCATCATCATCATCATCCTTCTCTCTCTCTCTCCCTTGTCTCTTCCCCACGTCTTCCCCTTTGCACACCCGAAGACCACCCCTGCGCCTCACTGTACATCCAAGCCCGCCAGCTATGAAGGCTGGGCTATGGCGCTGCCCTCAGCAGCGCCCTGCTCTCTGCACGACCGCACGTGCTTGCACCTCGCCGCTCAGCGCTAGCAGCAGCCCACGGGCTTCAGCTCCAGCAGCGCTGCCGCCAGCATGCGAGTGCCCGAATGAGCTGCCAGCCAGCAAGCTCTTTCCTATATGGAGAAGAGCTGGCCTGGCTTCGCAGCCTGGCTGCCCTGAGCCTGGGCCCAGAAGCTTCCGGTAGGCCCCAAGGTGCTGCGTGTCGCATACCGTAACGGTGCAAACCAGAACAAGAACCGACCTCTCTCACAAAGTACAAGATAGCGTAGCGGAAGACTTAGATACCAATGATCCGAACAATCAGTGTTGCAATGCAGCCTCAAACATACATCATCATCATTCCATGGTGTGAAGGGGCCTGGCGCTCACACAGGAAGAATGCGCCAGTCCCCGACCATACACAAACGAAGAAGAGGGGGCTTAGACGAAGAAGAAGGGAAGATGGGAATGTCGTCAACACCAAGTCTTCGGTACAGGTCCCCAATAATCCCTCGTCCAATGTCTGAATCCCCATGTCGAGTCTGGATCCAATGTCATCAAGTCTCAAAGTCACAACTCTCTCTCTCTCGTAGTCCGCAGATACTGAGAAGTCAGGTAGCGAGAGGGTGAAGAAGAGATGGTGGACTTAGAAGAGGAAGAAGAA